AGCAGACTCCACATAAGCCAAGCTTCTCCCTAATTTAAATTTCGATACAGTCATATGACACAAGATGGAAACACAATCCAAGAAATATGTTATTAGGCAATTTCATCTGTGTGTACCCTAAATTGTACTTTCAGTTTCTCACACTAGAGAAACTATTCGTATTTACACATGTGTGTCCTATTTATTTCACTTAAGAGGATGGCCTCAATATGCGTCCATTTAGCTATAAATGTCTCTAGTTTCTTGTTCTTTATAGCTGAGTAGTACTGCATTTCTTTATTCCTTGTTCTTTGTATATTTTTCTTTTATCTCCTGCTGTCCCCTCATCAGGTGACCGTGCATCCCCCAGTGACTGGTCAGGCCATCAACCTGACACAGAATGAGCCACGAGCTATTTTTAACTTTAGACTAAGCATAATTTACCCATAAAGAGATTTCTGTCACAGATTTTTGGACAAGTATATCCCATGGAGCCTTGTTATCAGTTGAGGCTTTCTTGCTAGAACCCATGATCTTTCCCTCCTTGATTAGATGACTCTTGCTTTCTTCATTACATACATAGTTTTTGAAGACATTCTGATAATAAAAATTCGTAAAAGAGCCAGGTGCGGTGATGCACACCTGTAATTCCCAATACTGGGGAGGCTGAGACAGGAGGATCACCTTGAGTTCGAGGCCATAGCAAGACCCTGTGTCAAAAAAAGAATTCCAAGGGCCCGGGATTTAGCTCAGTGGTTCCACTGCCTGCCTTGCAAGTGCAAGAACCTGAGCTTGATCCCTGGTACCAAAAAAAAAATTCCTAAAAGACTAAAATTACGAAAGATTTTGTTCAGAAAATTATTGAATGGGGTGTTTTTCTTACATAGAAAAATACACAAATTCAGTTGCCCTAACATAGTCAAATTATATATAAATATATATTAATCTAAAAGGTTTCAGAGCAAGGAATATTTCTGAAGATAAACAAGAATGTTGTATAAGCATAAAGGAGGTAATTCATCAAGACATATAGGCACCTAATAACAGTTTCAAAGAAACTGATGAAACTTAAAGAAGTAAGCAAATGCAGAATTACTGTAGAGATATCAACACCCCTGTCTTAAGTGATAGAACCTAACAGAGAATCATTATGGTTATAGATATAGAACACTTAGAAAAACTCCCAACCAGTTTACCTGACAATTAGGAAACATTTCAACCAACAACAGCAAAATATTTACCATATTTAAGGCTATTAAACAAGTTTTAATGAATTTTAAAAGTATTGAGGTTGCTGGGGATTTAGCTCAGTGGTTCCAGCGCCTGCCTTGCAAGCGCAAGGTCCTGAGTTCGATCCCCAGTACCAAAAAAAAAAAAAAAGTATTGAGGTTATTCAAAATATGTTCTCTGCCGGGGATTTAGCTCAGTGATTTCACCACCTGCTGCGCAAGCACAAGGACCCGAGTTCGATTCCCGGTACCAAAAAAAAAACAAAAAAAACATAGCTGACAAAGGTTAGAAGGGCTTTACAAAATATATTCTCTGACCACAGTGAAATTAAATTAATAATGAGTAATTTGCTAAATGTAGTGGTACATGCCTGTAATCCCAGCACTGAAGAATCTGAGGCAGGAGGATTGCTCCGAGTTCAAGGCCAACTTGGGCTACATAGTGAGTTCAGGACCAACCTGAACTACATGGTGAGACTCTGTCTCAAAAAAAAAAAAAAAGAATAGAAAAGAAATCAGTAATACAAAACTTTAATTTGAAAATTAAATCACACACTTCTAGATAGGGCAAAGATGAAAAAACCAAGGGAATATAGAAAATACTGCACAATGATGGAAATAAAGGTATCACAATTTGTAGAATGAAGCTAATACAGTGCTCAGAGGAAAATGTTTAGCATTAAATGCTTTTGTTAAGGAAGAGAAAAGTTTTTACCTAATAAAATAATAATAGAACAAACTAAACCCAAACTAAGTGGGAGGAAGTATATAGTAAAGATAAATGCAGATTTGGTGAATTAGATAATAGGGGAAATGAGTAAAACTAATTCTTTTGAGAAAAAGAATAAAATTGACAAATCTTTAGCCAGACTGATCAGGATAAAAGAAAACACACATACCATTAGTAGGAGAGAGGGGACATCACTACATATCCTACAGACAGTAGAGGTATTTAATGAGAATATTAAGAGTAACATTTTGCCAATAAATACAGCTTATAAAAGATCGATAAATTTCTTGAGATACATGTGTGATTCTGTAACTTTACTTTCACTATATTACAGTGCAATCCTGCATTTTGGCAGTATAAACCCAAAATTCTCTTTTTTTTTTTTTTTTGGTACAGGGGATCGAACTAAGGACCTTGCACTTGCAAGGCAGGTGCAGTGCCACTGAGCTAAATCCCCAGCCCAACCCGAAATTCTTATTTAGAATTTCTTAGGGATTTTTACACTAGAGAATTAAACGATCTCATCTTAATTTTGCCTATATGCTCATAGATTCTAACAAATCTCTCTAGAATCAGATTTTTTCTACAAAGATGTGGAAGGTACTACCTTGAAGGTTTATTTCTCTTCCAAATCAGCTGAAATGCTGTTAAATAAGTCTAGAACCAGATTTCACTGCTTCTCAAGCCTCGGTGGATAGATCTAGAAAATAAATGTATATATGTCTGTGTATATGTGTACTAAGTCATGCATATAAACACATCTATGTATGTAAGTATATATGAATTTTTAAAATCAGGAGTTCACATTCATACCTCCAACTCTGCTTTTTTGAAATCTATATATTTTTAACTAGCTTTTATCTTAGTAATAAAAACTATGCAAAGTAAAAATTTCAAACAGACAGAATGTCCTTCAATAAATAAGTATAGATGGATAGGTAGATCAACCAACCCACTAACTTGTATGTTTTCTTTCTTCTTTTATTCTCATGGGAGCATGTTATATGCCTTTTGCCCTATATTTGTTTTTGTTTTTTCATGTAATTGGATATTTTGAGGCCATATTTGATGGTGAAAAACTTGTTTCTGAGTTCATATGTTACAAGCTGAGAGAACCCATGAGAGATGGAAGAGTAAGAACTGGGGAAGAAATTTAAAAATCAAGAACCTCAGCCTTTTCTTGTTGTCTTAGTAGAAATCCATGTTATATTTTAAAATAAAGCTTGTTTGGAGATTTTAAGTACAAAGCTTAACACACCATATGTAGTTTATGCCCAGGATCCTTCCTGGACTTGGGTATTGTTAGAGAGAAAAAGTATGATTTCTACAGGATTACCCTGCAGCTTCAGTTTCCCACAAATAAACAATACATCATTACAAAACTCAAACACAGTTCTCTCTAAAGAAGCCAAAATCTTTTAAAGCCTGTGCTGTATCAGATTTTAAGTATAAATAAGAACCTGTTGTTATATATCTGAATATTTAAGTCAGTCACAGGACTGTGGATATTAAGTAGGCTAGGATTTTGCATTTCCTTCCAAGATGTCTTTGTAAAGAAAAGAATTATGTACACTTTTCTAAAAATTGGTCACTTTGCTGTTGTGCAAAATTTCCTTAATAATTATATTGTATAATTATATTGTGTAACTAACTCTTTCCCTTCCACTATCTACCTTCCTGTGCTTGTGATTTTGTAGGGTTGCCTTATTCTAAGTGATGAACTGAACCATGCATCACTGGTTCTAGGAGCCAGACTGTCAGGAGCAACTATTCGAATCTTCAAACACAACAGTGAGTTTGTCATAAAATTCACCACTGGCCTTAGTGGTCAGTAGTCATGTTATATTAGTTACATTAATAATTGAAAATATAAGTGGAGCTGAAGTAGAACATTTAAAATGTTCTTCTGGTTCAGTTTTTTAAAAGTTACTCTCTTCCTCATTGGAATAAACAGAGAGGTTGAAGGAAGTCTTTTATGTAAACTATACTCTCCTTTTATTTGACTTTCAAGTTTTCCATCCCATTTCCTTATTCAAATGTACTCACTAGATGCCTACAGTGTATCTTGCTATATCTCCAGGGGAATTGAAATGAGTAAATCAGGATCCCTCCCTAATTTCAAGGATCTCTGGATAATGAGATTTAGGAGGTAAACCAGAACTTAAAATACAATAGAAAGACGCTGAAATACAGAGATGTACAGATGCAGTTAGAGCAGAAAGAAGCATGAAGCCAAAACCTTTGCTCCCTAATTAGAAATAGTGTATTATTAAAATGATAACTTAAAATGAACACCAGAATTTTAGTAGTGAAAACACACATAGGGAGAAAAAAATTAACAAACTATATTTAATATCTTCTTTTGCTAAAATGTGTGGACATACAGATCAAAGTCTAAAAGAATATGTACCAAAATGTTAGCTCATACATACCTATGGAAGGAAGGACTAATAATGGTAATAACGTTTTTTTCCTTCTTTGTTTTCTCTAAAATGTTTTACAACCAGGTATGGTAGCACATCCCTAGCACAGGGGAGGCTGAGGCAGGAGGGTCACTGAGTTTAAGGCCAGCCTGGGCTACATAGTGAGGTCTAGGCCAGCCAAAACTACATAGAGAGGTCCTATCTCAAAAACCACCACCAACAACAAAAAAGTCTTAAGAAAGGTATAAATGTTATAGTGTTTTGCTATTTTGCTTTGTATGAATGAAATCTTGTTAAACATTGTTGTGTAATCTGTTTTTTAAAAAATACTACATTTCAGATGTAGATTGTCAGGGCCAGAGATTTAGCTCAGTGGTGGCTTGCCTTCCTCAAAAGTCCAAGGTCCTGACTTTGATCCCCGGTACAAAAAAAAAAAAAAAAAAAAGATACATGGATTATCAGTCCCGGGATCTGACTTCATTCTTTAATGCCATTGTGCCGTCAGCATCTGGATGTGCTATAAATCAGTCCCTCCTTTGGACCTCTAGCTGGCTCTAAACATTTCTACTAGAAACAGTACTGTACTCACACTTATACATACCTGGTTACTGCCTACTAGTCTCAAATGTCAGATTAAAAGGACAAAAAATTTTAATACTTCTTCAAATTATCCCTAAACATTGTACAAACAATATGATAGTGACTGTTCTACTCACCGGCCAATATAGGCTGTTGGGTATCCACTTAAATCTTTCTGAATCTATTAAGTAAATTCTCTGTTCATTTTTATTTCTTTAATTATTAGATCTAGAATAATTTATATATAGTTGTTGTATTTATAGGTATTTATTTATTTTGGGTACTGGGGATCGAACTCTGGACCTTGCACTTGAGAGGCAGGCGCTGGAACCACTGAGCTAAATCCTCGGCCCTATTTCTCTTTTTTTAATACATTATAAGAACTTTTATACTGTCTTTTTTTGTGCTGCACTATTTTTTTTAATTTTTTAATTTTGTTTAATGTCTTGCTGTACAGATTCATTTAAATGTTTATATAGTCAAGAGCAAATCCTGCCACTTTGAGAGCCTGAGTCAGGAGGATCACAAGTTTGAGCCCAGTCTGGGCAACTTAACAACTTAGTGAGAGCTTGTCTCAAAAAATAAGAAAAGGGCTGGAGGTAAATGTAATTCATATGAAGACGCTGGATTCATTTCTCAGTACCATATACGCACACACAGATACACACACAGACACACAGTATGTTTGGGTGGTTAAGGCAGGAGGATCACACATTCAAAGCCAGTGTAGATGACTTAGTGAGATCCTGTCTCAAAATAAAATAAAAAGTGCTGAGGCTGCCGCTGAATGCAAGGCCCTGGGTTTAATCCCCAGTATCGCAGAAGTACAAAATTTAAAATAAAATGTTTATGTTGACACACTTTTTGTCTTATGACTTTTGGCTTTGATTTAATGCTTTCCTCATTCTAAGATCAAAAAGTTATTCTCTTCTACTATTTTCTGAAAGTTTTGTGGCATTTTTTAAATTTATATGGAATTTGGGGGCATGCTATGAGAGATAGATTGAATTTTTTTTCTTAAGTAGTTAATATGGTTGAATGTTCTGCTATAGATATTTCCTCTTGTCTAAAATTTGAATAAATATCTATTATTCTCCTTTCTAAATGTAAACACAGGAAACTCACACAAGTACAGCTTTTACTTGTCTCCAGCTGATTGTCACATATTACTGCCTGCCACAGGAATGGTTAAGACATCTCTGATTAAGACATTTCTTCTGTGGGGAACATCTCTCTCTGTTAGGTAGTGTGCACCTTTTGTTGGAAAAAACAGAAGGAACAAACAGAGTTGCAACCTTTGGCTATCGTATTTGTGTTTCTGTTTTGTGTATGTGTGTGTTTTTTTTATTTTGTGGGGGTCTTTTTCTTTCCCCAGTAATGGAGATTGAGTCCAGGGCCTTTCATATGCTAGGGAAGTGCTCTTTTACTGAGCCATACCTGCCAACCTTTTTTTGTTTTGGTTGGTTCGTTGGTTTGTTTGAGACAGGATCTTGCTAAATTGTGTAAGCTGGCTTCAGATTACTGGCACGACACACCACCGCTCCTGGTCTGTTATGTGTTTTTATTTCCTTTTCCTTTCTATGAAATTCCGTGTGTGTGTGTGTGTGTGTGTGTGTGTGTGTGTGAGACAGAGAAAGAGAGAGACACACACAGTCTCACTATGTAATTTAAACTGGTTTGAACTCATTATATAATCTAGGTTGGCTTTAAACTCCAGGAATCCACCTGATTTAGCCTCCCAAGTAGTGGGATTATGGGTGTGGTCTACCACACCTGGCTCCAAAGTCCTTGTATGAGAAGAGCAAAATCATGTAGTTTTGTAACCCTTTGCTCTAGTGATAAGCAATAAAAAATATAAAGTCAGGTTTTATTTTTTTTTTAATTTTTATTTTTTTGGAACCAGGGATTGAACTCGGGACCTTGCGCTTGCAAGGCAGGCGCCAGAACCACTGAGCTAAATCCCCGGCCCTAAAAGTCAGGTTTTATGATGAGATGTCTCTCACGCCTGTGAAATATACATCACACTGAGTGTTACAGATTTGGGGGAAAATTTTAAGGGCTTCATTTCAGAATAAATAAAAGTATGAAGTTACAGTGGTAGCACAGTGATCTTCAAGGAATTTGTCTTTAACAGGAAAATTAGGATCCTCATTAATGGTAACCCAACTAAATTGTCTTAACCACCTCAAGGACCAACAGAGTCGTAAAAACTTGGTTTTATATAGACAGCTGATGAAGTTAAATGTGGAACAATATCATCTGACTGCTAAATTCCCAAAACACATTTTCATACATGTTCCAGACAGATGTATTTTTAACCTCATACCAAAATAAGGTTCTTTAACAAAGCATTTATTGAGTAAATCTCAAGTGAAAGGAAAAAGACCATCCATTTTAAATTTTGTTCCCTCCCTATTTGTTTTTTAGGAGGTATATGTATTTGCAATGGTATGTTCACACTCTTGCTAGGTCTTCTTTATGCTTTTATTTCTAAATGACTCACTAATTTTAGATATAATTTGATTGTAAACGGTAACTAAAAGGGAAGACATACCCTAGTTCGATCCCCAGTACCAAAAAAAAAAAAAGGCAAGACATTTAGCATGAAACATTGGTCATTTCATAAACATATTAAGCAATTGAAGCAATCAACCACCACATTTAATCAGGTCAAACATACTCAATTGAAGATGGCAGTAATTGACCCATTTGCCTAATCTTTTTCTGTTCAACTCTGATTATGTTGATGTCTTCTGCTGAGACACACTTCCTGATTAAGAAATGTGAAATTTTGGAATAAAGTGAGGAAAGAGGAAGATGCTTTGTGACTCAATTTCTTTGTGTGTGCTGTAGATATGCAAAGTTTAGAGAAACTGTTGAAAGATGCCATTGTCTATGGTCAGCCTCGGACACGAAGGGTCTGGAAGAAAATTCTAATCCTCGTGGAAGGTATATATAGGTAATCCTGCTTTACTCTCTTATCTCTGTGTCTCTTGCTCTTGAAGTCAGAGAATTCTTAAGCTGAAGAGAATGCCAGACTAGTCCCACCTGGAAATTAAGGAAACTATTATGATTTCTTAAAATACCTAGTAGCAGATTCCTCACTGGGACAGGACAAAAACCTTTTTGTCTGCATACTACATAGTCTCCAAATTCCCCTATTTGGGTCCTTTATTTTTCTCCTGTTTGTAGAGTGAACTTTACATGTAGGGGCAAGAATATAGATTCTAGAGCTGGGGATTTAGCTCAGTGGTTTTGCTGCCTGCTGCGCAAGCACAAGGACCCAGGTCGATCCCCAGTGCCAAAAAAAGAAAAAAAAAAGAATATATGTCAAAACAAATTATTATAGACCACTTAATTTTAAGAAATTTTTTTTGGTTAATTTCTACAGTCCTTTTTACTTCTTTTTTATTCTTTTGTGTAATTTTAATTGCATGTACAGTGCAATATAAAGTCTAATGTTGCCTATAAGTGCAGATTTTAGAAGAATCTGCTGTGACCTTAACTCTGTTATAAATGAATATCAGTTGTCTTCTGACACTTGTCTTAAAAGATCTAATCTCCTTTGCCCTAGACTGCCTAGCCATGGCTTCATCTGACTTTGTCACTTTAAAACCATAGGTGCATAGGCCCGGGTATTTATCTCGGTGGTTCCACCGCCTGCCTCGCAAGCACAAGGACCCGAGTTCAATATACAGTATCAAAAAAAAAAAAAACCATAAGTGCATAAACTCAACACATGAATAATGAAGTGGACAGTTCCCAAATTTGAGAGTTTAAAAAGTCTCAGTGCATGTACTTTTTTAAATCCTGTTTTGCCAGTATGGAGGGGTCTATTGTTCGCCTTCCTGAAGTGATTGCCCTTAAGAAGAAATACAAGGCTTACCTGTATCTTGATGAGGCTCACAGCATCGGGGCCCTGGGCCCTACAGGCCGAGGTGTAGTGGAGTACTTTGGGCTGGATCCTGAGGATGTAGACGTTATGATGGGAACGTTCACAAAGAGCTTCGGTGCTGCTGGAGGATACATTGGAGGCAAGAAGGTAAATGGGCCTTGAGAATGGGTAAACGTAGTGGCTACTGGATTTGGTAACTGTTTAGCAGATGGGGACTTGAACTAAGCTGTGGAGATCCTGAATTTGTGGCTTAGGATCCTATTGCTAGTAGACTTCTGAATTCAGCTGCCCAGAGAGCATCTCATATGATGCCTACTCACTGAACTAAAGGCGAGTTCTGTTCAGTGTTTTGTTGTTCGAGTTTCTTTCTAAACAACATACTGGTCTCAGATACAGAATACCCTCTTTTATGAAAGAACACACAGTGGAGTTTCCTGGTTGCTACAGTCTTTCCTTGGGTTTGGGCTGTGCTCACAATTTTAAAAGGAATGAGGTTGTTATGGGAGCCAGTAGGAATAGAAAACCAGTTGCCTTGCCCTATTGTAGGTACACGCAGAAACAAGAAGAAGGAAGACTGTAATAGCTCTAGAGTACAACAAAGCATTATAGTTCTCAATTATAAAATTATATACTGCACTCTAAAGCAACTACGAACATGGAAATGATGAACCATGGAAGCAGGCCAGGATTTGAATATTTCTCTCTTTGCTTCTTGAGACCCTGGGGACAGCATTGAGTCTTTCAGTTTCCTTGTCAGTAAAATAAAGATAAGTATGTCTAGCTTATAATATTGTACTAAGGGTTTAAAAAATAATGTGTGTTCGGCCAGGGATTTAGCTCAGTGGCACCACACCTGCCTCGCAAGTGAAAGGTCCTGAGTTCCATACCAGGTACAAAATAATAATAATAATAATAATAATAATAAATGTGTGTCTACACTACAACACAGCTATGCTTTGGAAACATTATGTTAAGTGGAAGAAGTCAGTCACAAAAGGTCACATAATAGTATTTATTTATTTTTGTATGGTATATCCAAAATAGGCAAAAAAACAGAAAGTAGCTAAGTAGTTGCCAGCAGCTTAAGGGATGGGGGAAATGAAAAGCAACTGCTCATAGGTATGAGATTTCCCTTCAGGATGATGAAAATGTTCTAGGATTAGATAGCAGTTTCATTGTACAGCTCTGAATATACTAAAAGGCACTGAATCATACACTTTAAAAAGGTAAATACAACAGTATATGGTTCTCTATCCAGCCATTATGTTTTGAATTTTACTTCAACATTAGAAGAAGAAATAGTATATGTCAGGTATTTGTGTGTAACACATAGTAGGTGTTCATAAATGTTCTAAATGCCTCTGTAAAGCTCAACATTGGGGGTTACCATACACTGTCAGACCTGGGGATATAGCTCAGTGGTATAGCACTTGCCTAAGTATACGTAAGGTCCTGGGTTCAAACTCCAGCACCAGAACAGGGAGGGGGTTTAAATGGTAGCAAAGTTTTATTAAAGGTAAGAAAAGAAATGGGCTATGTAGAGGTAGTTTGGGCCAAGTAAAAGTAGGAAAAGAAGTACACCCTACAGCATGAGGGGAGGCCATCCATGCAGGAGAAAACACAGTGGCCTAGATTTCTTTTATTCTCAAATTTTACCTTTTTGTTAGTGGGACTAGCTCACTTTGAAAAGTTAGCTGCTTTTTGGTATGATTTGTTGGTGTGAACCAAATGATAGAAAAATTTTGGGAGATCATTTAAGTACAATATATTTGGGCTTTAGGGTTTTTTGGGGTTTGTTTTGTTTTGTTTTGCTACCGGGGATTGAACTCTGGACTTTGTGCTCGTGAGGCAGGTGGCGGCACCACTGAGCTAAATCCCCGGATCTTTTAGTGTTTTACAAGTAATAGATTACTTTATAGCCATATTTTGATTACCTTTATTTGGTTTGGTATATAAGCTTATTGTGTGCGCATTTTATTTAAAAATGTAACTGGAAGGGGTGGGGACTTAACTCTGGTTCCACCACCTGCCTTGAAAGCACAAGGTCCCGCATTCGATCCCCGGTACCAAAAAAAAGGGTACCAGAGAGTAAGGATATACAATTGTTTTAAAAATCTTTGTAACTGATAGACAAGGTTTTATTTTATTCAGAGAGATGTCATTACTGTTTTAATGAAATATCTAGTGAATATCTGCCACATTCATATCATTTTTATAAATCTCCATGTCTGGGGGATATTCTGATACCCTTACAATTAATATTAGAGAACTATCTGTGTGTGGGTGGGGGATTAAACCCAGGGCACTGCACATGTTAGCATGCACCATACTACTGAGCCACAGCCCCAGTTCAAGAGAACTGTCTATTATTTAGGGATATAAAGATGGGCTCTGCAGGCAGAGGGTGAAATGCAGATGATATTTCCTATAATACTGTACTTAGGTGTAAATCATTGTATTTTTTTAAAAAGGCAATCCAAACACCTTCTTTAATTCAGCTTTGTACATTTACTTGTAACAATAAGAGAATGTTCTTCAAATTTAGAAAGATACTTTAAGATCAGTTAAATTTAAAAAAAAAAAAAAGCAAAACCTAAGAACTTTGCCATGTTTCTGACCCAGTTGTTTGCGCTCAGTTTGCTTCAACCATGTTGGTTGACCTTTCATCTTGGATTACTCCAGGCAGCTGAAAGGAGGAGCTCATTAGCATGTGGAAGGGAAGCACAAACATTGCCAGTGAATTCAAGAGTTGCCTCTAACTATCACCCTTTATGGCCTCCCCAGGAGCTGATAGACTATCTGCGCACACACTCCCACAGTGCAGTGTATGCCACGTCCCTGTCGCCACCTGTGGTGGAGCAGGTCATCACCTCTATGAAGTGCATCATGGGGCAGGATGGCACCAGCCTTGGTAAGTCTTTTTTCTGTTCTTTTTTTTGGTACTGGGGATTGAACTCGGGTCCTTGCGCTTGCATAGCAGGTGGCGAAACCACTGAGCTAAATCCCCGGCCGAGTAAGTCTTTTTTTCTTTGACCTATTTCCTGTGCTCAGTAAATACTTAGCAGCCAAGTGTGTCCTTTTTATTGATTAGTAGATCATATTATAGCCGTGTCTTATGCCTCTTTATTTGGGTTAGTACCCAAGTTTCTTGTGTGCATTTTATTTAAACATTTGAGGGGGCGGGGATTTAGCTCAGTGACACTGTGCCTGTCTTACAAGCATAAGGTCCTGAGTTTAGTCCCTGGTAAAGTCGAAAGTTACTTTTTTGCGCTAAAATAGGTTTCCTAAGGGGCAGGGATGGCATACTGGGAGGCCTGTTCCCGTGGACACTTCATTGTGTTAGATACATGTCCTGAGAATTATACTGGAATTCTATGCAGTTTTTTCCTGTGCAATTTTTAAATTTATAGATGATGAGACTTTCAATCGTACATGACTTTTTTGGGGGGGGACTGGGGATCGAACTTGGGACCTTGCACTTGTGAGGCAGGGGCGGTGCCACTGAGCTAAATCCCTGGCCCCCAAATCAATCTTATAGTAAAGTATTATATAATTATTTATATAATTATAAAGCAGAAAGATCAAGGCTAAGATTAAGTGTAACAGTGTATTTAAGAGCTGCTATTTCTAAGAATATCCTTGACTTAACACTTTGTAAAGAGTTTCTAATTTAGTATACAGGGGATAATGAAGGTCATCCTGAATTTTTGATTTGTCTTTGGTGGGACTTGTAGTTCAAACTGGATGCCCTGGTTTAAACATGAAAATGAACAGTAAAGTATGTTCTCTGATATTTGACTTTTACTTTGTATCACCAGAGGGCAGTGTTGACTGTAGATCAGAAATAATAAAACAGGAGCAATTGAGGCTCTGTGTGTGTGCTTTTTTTTTTTTTTTTTTTTTTTGGTACCAGGGATTGAACTCAGGACCTTGCCCTTGCAAGGCAGGTGCTGGAACCACTGAGCTAAATCCCCGGCCCTATGTGTGCTGTTTTTAACTTTAAAAGTATTTACATCGATCCCTGAGTTCAATCCCTGATACAAAAAAAAAAAAGTATTTCCATTGCCAGTATGAAACATTAATTTTACTTATTTTTTTAATGCTTCTTTAAATTCAGTAAGGCTCTTATAAAAGACTTCACATTATTAGCCTTGATCTTTCTGCTTTATAATTATATAATACTTTACTATAAGATTGATTTGGGGGCCAGGGATTTAGCTCAGTGGCACCGCCCCTGCCTCACAAGCGAAAGGTCCTGAGTTCGATCCCTGGTACCCCCCCCCAAAAAAAGAAAACAAGAATAAAATGGTTTATCTGATTTTGATTTAAGACTGTTTTCTTAAATCAAAGTTTGTCTTAATATTTTTTCCAATCTGTCATAGATCCTTGATAGCTTTAGGAAAAGATTTTGGGAAACAGCAAAATAACATCTTCAGTTTCATGAATTTGTTCTTCAGGAGGAAAATATTTAATTTATGTTTCACACATAGCATTCGAACCTTATGAGTAGCTCCCTATTGACAATAGCTACATGTCTTTTTCTGATTTGGTATTATTGGGAAAGTGTGCTTTTACCTGTGTATATACAGAGAGAAAGACCCAGAGAGGGAGGAAGAAGAGAGAAGAAAATGAGATGGGGGGCATGCATACAGGAGCATGCTAGCATTTATGGAGTTACTTCATTCACTAGGTGCATTCACCTTACTGAAACAGTGAACAGATTTAGGTGCTAAGCAAGTTCTAACCCCTGTTAAAGTTGACGTTGGGTAATTTCTTTGGCCTGTCCTAGCCCATGGATCTGTGTGATATTACCCTGGATAAATGCCTCATCTGTACTAATGATATCTGGTAAGAAATTAAACATGGTAAATAGATAAAGGTTGAATTGGTACTGATTTTCCAGTTTTTGCTTCTGTGGCCATCCCCAAAGTGTAGTGGCATGACACAATAGCCGTCTTACGTTCACAGACCTAGGGGTCAGGAATTCAGTCAGGGCACAGCAGGGATGGCTTGGCTTCACAGTGTCTGTGGCTAGCTCGGAACACTCAAGTGGTTGGGAAGACTCCATCTGGCAGCTTCCTCACTTACTTGTCACCTGGGCTGCAGTGACTTGAAAGCCAGGCTCTCAAGGCTGTTGAGCACCTTCATGAGCACCTTCATGTGTCTTCCCCGTGTGATACGGTGACTGCATACTCAGAGAGGATACTTTAGAGAACCTGCATTCCAAAAGAACCTGACCAGAACTTTATTACAGTGTGGGGGAACCTATAGCACACATGTTATTGTGTGTCACTTTTAAGACAAAAGATATTAGTGTATGAGTTTTTTTTCTAAACTAAAACCTCAGTACGCAAGTTTAATTGAAGTGTTGGCACTTTGTGATAAATAAGTGGGTTTTGGGTTGCAGTTTGGCGCTCAGTCTCTAGAAGGTTCACCATCAGTGCTTTATGACCTTATTTTAAAAGTTTTAATCTCTGGGTTTTTATTTTAAATTTTAATTTATTAGTACATGTGTATAGTACATAATGTTTACATAACTTGTGGGGAGTTGCTACATGTACATAACACATCTTTTTGTTTTGTTTTTTAAGACAGTGTCTCAGTTAATGTAATTCAGGGTGGCCTTGAACTCTCTAACCTAGGCTGGCCTTGGACCCGTGGTGATCCTCCTGCCTCGGCCTCCCAAGTGCTGGGATTACAGGCACGTGCCATCTGCCTGGCAACCCATCTTAATTCCTTTTCTTATCCCCCTTTCCCTTCCCTCCCTAACCCCTCCACCTGTCCTTTGATCCCTTTCCTTTGTTTAAATTTTTTTGCACGTTTGTAGTACATGTTGTGTACATTCCCTGTGTGGAGCTGATACATGTACATAACATATCCCAATTCCTTTTTTCATCTCTTATCCTTCCTTTTCATCTCTTATCTTTTGATCCCCTTTCCCTTTGAGAATGATCTCCCTACTTCCTATTATCTGTCTTAATTTTTACTCTGGGTTTCTCATATAAGAGAAACAATGTGATATTTAAAGTTTTGTGGCCATCATCAAGAAATCAAATAATAACAAATGCCAGAGAGGCTGCAGGGAAAAAGGAAACCTCCTACAGTAATGTTGGGAATGTAAACTCGTATAACCACTATGGAAATTCTTCAAAAAACTAAAACTAGAAATTACATTAGATCCAGATATTCTTCTAAGAATCTTCCCAAAAGAGTTAAAGATATCATATTACAGTGATGCATGAACCCCATGTTTATAACAGCACAATTCATAATACTTAAATCCTATCCTGGAAGGGGCTCGTATGTCCATCAGTAGATAAATGGATAAAGAAAATGTACTTACACACCATGGAGTACTACTCTGCTATAAAGAAAGATAAACTTGAGTCATTTGTGGGAAAATAGATGCACCTTGAGACCATAATGTTAAGTAAAATCAATTAGACATACAGCTTAAATACGACCTTTTCTGATATGCTATTAACAAGCTAATCTCTAAGGCCATCCCAGATTAGAGGAGCTAATTATGTTCCACTCACTTCCCCAGTGGGAGATTTGCAGAAGAATTTGCACCCATTTTTAAAACAATCTCTACTGGCTGGCTGGCTTTCTTTCTTTCTTTTTTTTTGACAAGGTTTCACTACGTAGTCCAGGCTGGCCTTCAACTCACTATATAGCCTAGGCTAGCCTCAAACTCCTAGTGATCCCCCTGCTTCAGTCTCCCAAGTGCTGAGATTATAGGCGTCCTCCACCGCACCCAGCTCTCTACCAGCTTTTAAATAATTTACTATATTTTTAAAAATTACTCCCTAAAATTTTTAATTAACTTGATAAACTTCTATTGACTATATTGTTTCTTTATTAAACCAAGAATAATAAAAACCAAACCAAAAGTATAGGTAAATATAATTTCTCAGAAAGCCCACTATCTGGCCTTTAATTTGCCCTGGTTTCCTTTAGATTTCTGTATATTAAAGTAATTCTTACTTTTTATGACATTGTTGGATGAATGTTTTTATTGTCCTTTTAGAAAAAAGGGTGTGGTACAGGACAGCAACATTTTGACTTTGCCTTAAGGTGAACTTATTTATGAAGTTGTATCTGCAATTAATTACTTGAGTTTGATTTTGTGATAGAAATGTCCTGCCTTGAAAGAAACTTCATTTTTTAAATTCAAGACATTGAATTTAATGAATTTCAGAAACATTTTCTATGTTTCTCTGTGGTAGACTATGAATCAGAATCCACAGGAATGACCAGTCAGTGTTTCAATAAGGTGTACATTTGGGTGGTATTGAGGATGCAAAGAACCATTGGTCATGTGTTAGTCCCAGAGAGCACAGTAGCATAGAACAATTGAAGTTTCGTTCACCAAATATTTGAGTGCCTGTTGTGTGCTAGGTCTTGTTGTGGGCACTCATGTTCATCAAAGAATAAAGCACCTCCAAATTCCTGCCTTGCAGAGTTTTCATTATATAGTATGCTAGAAATTGGTAATGGCTAGGTGTGGGGAGATAAGGGAGAAGGTGAGGGGCTCAGGAGTCCTGGGGGCCTGTTCTGGTATTTTAAAGACAGTTGGTCCTTGAGAAGGAGTATTTTAGCAGGGATATGAAGTAAGTGAGAATTCAAACATGAAAGTACAGAGTAGAAGGCCCGGAACTGGAGGTCACTTTGTGTTCAAGGACTTAGCAAGGCAGCCACTGTGGCCCGAGCATAATAATGCAAAGTAAAGTGACTAAGAATGGGGTCATGAGGTGAGGGTAAAGGTTGTTTGGAGGATGGAAGTTCTCACAGGAGACAGTCTTATAAAGGGATTAGGTTTACATGGGAAAAAATAGACACATGCTAGTTTCCTTGCCATGTGTAGTATCAAATTCAAATGCTTGAATAGTTTCTGTGGGCTGCTTAATA